TATTCTTAAAAATCTGAAAAAGACCAGTGGAGGCTTAACGTAACGCTGATTTAGTAATGTAGGGCGAGTCCATGACTGCGCTAAAGGGAAGGATTAAAATAGTTCACTGAATGTTTTAAAGTGGAGCTAAACGCAAACGCCGCCCAAAACCACTGCAGACGTTCCAAGCCCAATCTGTATTGAATGACCAAATGCTAACTCAGAAAATTAGAATATGGCTCAAAAGTCAGTTCACTTCAGTCGTTCAATTACAATGTGAAAAAAAAAGACAAAAGTGTGAGATTATATGATGCCTTTAGATATATGGCTTGCAACTTGTAAAAACCCCAAATAAATTATGAACATTTGAATATTTTGGAAAGGGATTGTAAGAAAGAGTCAGAAAAAGTATACAACAAACTAAGGCTTGGTATATAATAATAATATTTACGCTTCGGTTTTATATCGCGTTTTTTTGAGAGGAGAGTGATAAACTACTACTGTAGCCACAGCTGCCCTGGGGCACACTGACAGAAGCGAGGCAACCAGTATGTGCCATCTGGCCCCTCCGACCACCACCAACCATTCACACACACACCAGACTCATTCTAGGCAATGTGGGTGAAGTGTCTTGCCTAAGGACACAACAGCAGGTTGGCACTTTACAGCTGCAGCCGCCCCACTGTGGCATAAGGTGTTCCCAGAGGTTAAGTAACATGCCAAGCACACAACGACAGCAGACAGTGGGAGTCGGTGGAGAAAGTCTTGTGGTGGGCTCGAACCCACGACCCTCTGGCTCTAAGGCCAATGCTCTAGAGCCCTGCACGGGCCTATTATCTGGGCCCGAGCCCGGCCCTGACCCGAGGGGGTGGCGCCCCAGCCTGGTCCAACATGGTTTCTGAATTCTCAGGCCCAAACCCGTATCAAGGCTGACATTTTTTTTTTTTTACCTCTCATAACAATCTTTTAGCGTAGTATAGAGTGCGATATGAACACAGGCCCGGCTAGAGGGTTGGAGTTATACATGGTAGTGATGTGTTACAATGAGTTCTGTGTGTATGGAGTGAACGGCCGCAGCTGCATGATTATCAGATGCCGCAATAAACTGCACACTTAAAGGTAACGCTATGTGTCATCAATGACAATACTATACAGAACAACAAACACTACAGCGTGATAGAACGCTATCTTCATTGGGTGCGTTGGTAAATTTAATCTGCTGCTCTGAAAATGAATAAATAAAAGTGTCCGAGCCCGGCCCGTGTCCGAGGAAATTATATGGTCATCGGGCCTAGGGCTCAAGTGCAGGGCTCTATATTTATCTCACTTTTTAGGATGAATTAAAGAACACTTTCTGATGATAGGTTTCTTTATAAGTTGACTTTAGCTAAAGACTGTCATGGTACCAGCCAGAACACCAGTGATATAAACTGCACAAACAGACATGAATCGCAATTAAATCCCTCAAAAAACCCTTCTAAAAGATGGAGATAATGGTCAAAACGGTCAAACAACGGTCTAAGTCAGTGTCAATCCCTAATCACATAATTTCCCGCTGTAGTCTTCGGTCTCAAAATGCAGTAAATCCAGTCTGTTATGACAATAAACGTGCGTCTCGTCACTACTAAAATACTTGCTGCTGTTTTATCCAGAGTTTAGACAACGTGTTTACAGGAGGCAGCTGCTGGAGGAAGCGAGAAATAGTGTCTCCCTGGTTGCTATGGCAATGGATGTGACAGACAAGGTCCCAGCAATTTGATTTGGTTAAGTCCGGTGAAACTAACAGGACAAGAAAAACCAGACGGTCCCTTAAGGTGTCATTCACATAAACTGCCACATTGGGAACTTGTTTATGTGAATTGGGCTTATGTCTCCATTAATATGTTATTGCTGCTAATAGTTGTGCTGGTAATTAGTAACTTGTAATGAGTGTCTGCAATGGGGTTAAAAACAAAAATACATACGCTTTTGTATATGTTTAGTCTACAGTTTGTCGTCATAAATACCTTGTGGCTACAGACTGTTACTATTGACTCCACCTATATCTTTTGTTTTTTTGTATTTCCATAGAAACAAACAGGACAATCCAATGGCATGTGATAGTATCCTCACAAACGGGAATGGAAATGTCATGTCATTATAATACACCTCATGCATCAGAGCCCAATATCAGATTTGAAACATTCATATTTAATAAACCCGGAACACTTTGGCCTGCCCCCTTATGTCAGTTTATCCATTTATGTATTTGTTGGCTCGTAACGGTTTAATCCAGTGTTGGTCAAACGTGGCATGTGTAAAGGTTTTAAAAATGTATGTTGTGTATTGCAGTGTATGGTTTGTTCTTTAAGTCGGTCAGTTGGAATGATGCCCTCATGACCGGGTCACTGTTTAATACATCACTATATGAATTTAAGATGGGAAATTCAGCATGGCTCATCGAAGATCTGTAGAATAATAATAACAAAGTACTTATATGGCGCTTTTATGGACATTCAAATTGGCTTTAAATTGTGTATCCATTTGAATGTTAAAGGTTATTTTATCTGCAACTCTGAGCTCAAAATTCTCTGTCAGTTTACTCGTAGAAAACACAAGATGAAGCCGTTCATGAGCAATTTCCCACTCGGAAAGTGGTATTTACCATAATTACCAGCACATGAAGGCACCATAACAAGCTCTTAGTGTTTCAATACATTAATAATACAGTAGTCCTGCATCGAGTTTTTGTTGGATGATGGATAACGATGGATATAACGCCTCACAATCTCAGACGGCTCCATCCTAAATCCTTTCAGGAGCTCAGACTGCTTCCAACATGGCTGCAACAAGAAATAGCATGAAGTTACGCTATTGTTACTTTGTCCTTTGCATTTGACCCTTCCTGCACTGTCACTGTGCCCTGGACCCATCGCCAGATCTTGATGCTCAGGACTACTGGGGGTGGAGGATTTTACCAGAGGACCCGTACTGCTCGGTTTCAAATGGCTATTCAAACCCACTGGAATCAGAAAAGACACCATCTTATATTTGACATTAAAAAGTTGGAAGCAAGGGGGGTGAACCAGGTTTAGCTGAAGAGGCCCCTTGGCTGAAACCAAGGGGTAAACCATGGCCATGTCCGGCATTACTGTTTGCCTGAGGAGTCTAGAGGTGTGACTGTGGATGTGTGTGTGTTGTTGTCTACTTGTTCGTGCAGTTTATAGCCATAGATAGATATTGCTTTTTAAAAGATGCAAGGAATGTAAATAATATTATATTTTCTTGCACTGGTCAAAAATGGCCTTGGCTATGAAATTATTGCCTTTATCCTCGGGAAGCATTCATTTAATTGTGCTGGATCTATTATGTGTTATGTCATTTCTCCCTCTTATACACAAACTATTTATTCAATTTTTTTGAGATGTGATTCAGCCCCAGGCAACTTTTTGGTGATATTGTATTACGATAACTGATTAGATTAAAGTAGCATGTATTATTCATCAGTTTATGAGCAATTGCTAAACTGGCTAAGCCTGGGTACGCAAGGCTGCTAAACGCAATATACACAGGACATCACGATATAAAGGTTCACTAATTGAACCTACAACCTCTTCGCTTTAGAGCCAATCTCCCTTTTTTCCAATGTCCGACTATTAATACTACTTCACTAAATGCAAAATGATGGAATGTATCTTCTATTTTCCTTCAGGGCCGACTCGGGCTTAATAACCTCGTGATTTCTTGTGATTATATTTTCTAATATTTATGAGCACCATTTCAGCAGCTCAGAAAACACATTAACAATAAAACGGGAGAAATCTGTTTGCGAAACAAGAATGTTCTTTATACTTTTCCCTGCTTCTGGTGTTTTACAGTTTGGCTGCCAGTAAATATGCATATGTTCATTATTGGAACCTTCAGTGTGTCTATATGAGGATTGATTCATGGTCAATACTGAAACGTTGGTTGTAATTACGTTAAAAGGCATTCTAATATATTATGGTTGACCTTCTGGCCCCATGGCTAATCTTGCACTTTGGAAAATTAGATCAATACAATAATATTGTGAACGTTTGTCTTATTTTAGTGACAATATCACAGGGGGAAAGGGAATTCTTTGGCAGGAAGGCTGAAAAATCTCTCATAATGTGTTCTACTGAAATTTATTGAAACTTGGAAATGGGTAAAACAAGTGGTTCAAGGTTCAAGGTGACTTTATTTGCACCCATGGTTGGATTCTTTTTTGCAGTTAAACAAACACCAAATTATTCATAAAAATCACATTTACACAAATAACAATAAAAACACAACAGATAAGTAAAAAAAAAAAAAAGGTAAAAAGAAGGTAAAAGGCAGACATACAGATAAAAAAACAATTTACCCAATATATTAGATTAGAAAAGTTGCATTATTTAACATTTTCAGAAAAATGTATCCTTTAAATAGCAGAATAACTGCATTGCTGAATCCTGGGCACAGGATTCCCACAGTGATTTAGTGATTTCTTTCATACGTTTCAAGGCTCCACTTTTTGTCTTTTTACATTCAATTTCAAAGTCTTCATTCAAACTCTATACCAGATATGCTACATTTCAGATAGACAACAACACTATTTAGATTCCCTTCATTTATACATTACAAATATTAAATAAAATGGAAATAGATAATACATTATTCATACAGTTTTTTCTTGGTATCACACAAGACAATCTTCTGATTTCTCTTCTCTGCAAATTGCCGCCATGCCATGTCTAAACCCGTTCCACCCTCAGTTCTCCACCTTCCCCATCCCTTGATCTCTGCTTGTCGACGATACAATCAAAGCCTTGTCTTTAAACCTCACTCACTCAGCGGCGCTTTGTTCCCTGAAGCTCCCGAATCAGCTTTTTTGTCACAAGATCAAAGTCTGTACCACCGCAAGTCAAGAATCGGGCAAATTGATTCTTAATTACTGCCTTCACAGTTCTTATATCGACTCTTCATATACTCTCCTCCCTGTGGCTTATTTCTTTAACGTCTATATGTTTTGTCTGTTGCAGGGTGAATGCTCCCAGAAGTGCCATAACATCTTTGTGCTGGAGACTGTGTGTGTGGCGTGGTTCTCTTTGGAGTTCTTGCTTCGCTTCATCCAGACGCCGAGCAAATGCACGTTTCTGAGAACCCCTTTGAACGTGATCGACGTGGTGGCCATCTTGCCGTACTACGTCACGCTGATCGTAGACTCATTTTCGGTGGACGGCAAAAAGGGCGGTTCCGGAAACAACTACCTGGAGAAGGTCGGGCTGGTTCTCCGAGTTCTCAGAGCCTTGCGAATCTTCTACGTCATGAGGTTGGCGCGTCATTCCTTGGGACTGCAGACGTTAGGGTTGACGGTCCGCCGATGCACGAGAGAGTTCGGATTGCTGCTGTTGTTTCTTTGCGTGGCCATGGCGCTTTTCTCACCGCTGGTTTTTCTAGCTGAGAGCGAATTCGGCGCGAAGCAGGAGTTCACAAGCATCCCGGGAAGTTACTGGTGGGCTGTGATCTCCATGACAACGGTCGGTTATGGAGATATGGTACCAAGGAGTATTCCGGGACAGGTGGTAGCGCTCAGCAGTATCTTGAGCGGGATCTTGTTGATGGCGTTCCCGGTCACGTCAATCTTTCACACGTTTTCGCGGTCGTACATCGAGTTGAAGGAGGAGCAGAATCGAGCGCTCAGGCAAAAGCCGGATTCGCAAGACTCCACCAAGTCTCAGAACAGTGAGGACTCGCAGGAGACCGACAGCTACCACGGGATCATAGAGCCGCAAGTGATTCACCGGAGGAAGTCCATGGCCGTGCACAAGGCGGCCGGAACTTAGCAGTGGGCTTAAGGCGAGATGGAAGCTTCTGGGCGGTGCAGTTCGGTTCAGAAACACACTAATTTGCAATTCATACACCACAGTTTGTGAAGCACCACAGATTTAAAGTCTGAAAAGCAGGGTTGGTAGCTAGCGATAGACCTTCAACCCGTTATATGAGTTTATCTTATAATATGTGTTTGTCTGGATGTTTTGGTCCATATTTGTTGGCAGCTGTTAAAAATCATGAACAGTAAAATTATCTATTTTATTCAACAAAACCTCCATACGAGATATACGTTGGTATGTAATAATTCTTTTCATTTCCGTTGTGAATTGGCTCATTTCTATGTCTGAATTCGGAAACACCAACTTCTATTCATGACTTTAAATCATTCAGTGAAGTAAAAGTCTTTCTTTATTTCAATTCAATTAAATTAAATTTATTCTTGCATAGCTCTAAATCACAACAGTATTTACACAAGGAGGAGGACTTTACACAACAGTTAAATTCTCCAACACAGATCAGAGAATCAAACAGGTACGACAGCAGAAATCAGTGGGAGTTGGTGGAGAAAGTCTTGTGGTGGGCTCAAACCCATGACCCTCTGGCTCAAAGGCCAATGCTCTAGAGCTCTAAAAAAAAAAAAGACAAAACACATAAGGGACAGATGACGAATGGGTTGATAAATGTCCATAAGTGTTGCTGAATGTTGAGGGTCCTTTTATCCTAGCACATAGACTGGTCTCAACTTTCTGATGTCTTCTTGGTCCACAAGTTAGATGAATGTAACACAATAACAAAAGTTGGTCACCGATAATCACATACACTTCTTTTTCACCTATTTTGGTTATTTCAACTTCATGATGCATCAATCCAGAGATAAAGTTTATCTCTGCCCTTCTGTTACCCCTTTAATGTGTACTAAACTGAACTGTGCTGCTTGATGGACTTGTGAAGGATCAGCCTACGGACTTCCAAATGCACAACAGGATGATACTAAAGAGAAATAAACTCCGGAGCCGTGCTTTGATAGTGTGAAAAGCACTTCAAAGCAGTTCCGTTCAAAGACATTTCTGAGATTTTTGTCGCAACAATGACTTTAAAAGACATTTTCTAAACCTGCCAAGGTGACTGCACATACACTGACTGTGATTCAGACTGGAGTCAATAGAGAAAAAGAGAGAGCACAGCTTATGGGAAGTTAAATGAACCTTTTTGAATCATAATGGAAAATGTAATAAGACAACAAAAGATAATATTCAAATACAAATACTAGCTGACCTTGAGATGAATATTTAATATGGTCTGCATTGCTAATGCAATATATTTATTATCCAGTAAATGCACCAATAACAAGAAACATCCAATTCATTGATGTTCTTGAAAACACAATAACATCAATAAGTGACATGGATGCTGCATGTTTTGGAAGTTAAGGTGTTTGATTTCTCTGCTTATACACAACATACATCATATTGGGTACTAAGTCCACACCTGCACCACAAATAGCCAAATCCTGTTGTTCTTGTTTCCTGGATTATACACAGACTCCGTAGTATGGCATGTTGTGTTGAAAACAGTTGCAGTCATGTGTTTTGTCAGTAAATACGTCAAGATATCCCAAAAACTGCATTGCATCAATAAGCCTAATCTTTGACTAATCTATCAGAATACATTAATTTAATGGAAAAGGGCCCAAACATGAAAGTTGGGAAGTTGGGTGCCCAACTTTTTCATTTATAATTCATTGTGTTTGTCCCAACAGCAAGAGTCTTGTAAAAGTAATGTTTTCTGACCCAAGCAGCATGCTGTCTTCATCTTATCAGGAAACATGTGAAACAACTTGGAAAGATGCTTTGAGCTGAGAGCATGAGTGGTCCTCTCTTTTTCTCTTTTCTGTCTGAAAAAGCTGAATAAAATGTGACTGAGGCCAAAAAATACATGCATGTGAAAACTAGTGATAGAACCAAGCTATTTTTAGAGCAAAGAACATGTTGAAATGATCTGATTACATTGTTCATTTTTTGTGTTTTAAATGTTTGGTACCCATGTTTTAATTGGCCAAAATAATGGTTGGTTGGTTAGCCTTACCAGCAGGTGGAAAACAGTTTTAAAAGTATACATTAAAGCAGTGTTTCTTACTTAAAGCCATGACATACATTTCTCTATGTATGACACGGTGGCACAGTGGTGTCATTTGTGCTTCATAGTAAGAAGGTCCTGGGTTTGATTCCACCTCTAGGTCTTTCCGTGTGGAGTTTGCATGTTCTCCCTGTGTCTGTGTAGGTTTCCTTTGGGTGCTCTGGTTTCCTCTATCACTAAAAACATGCACAATAGGCCAAATGAGTGAGTGAGTGGGTGAATGGTCAGGGGCTTTGAAGCACCAGCACTGTGAGAGGAGTAAATTACTGGTACACCCAAACTGTAAAGTGCTTTGTGTGACCTTGGCCTATGAAATGCGCTTTATAAAAAAAAGAAAAAGAAAAGAGTACTTTCTATAGCTCTTACTAATCCTGGCTGAATATTGACAGTAGCAGCTACACTGGAGATTTCTACTGCAGTCACAAAAGTACTTAATGTACTTGAAAACATTGTAAAGTCCGTCATAGGAAGTGGACTGTTTTTAAAGCGACGGTAAAATGTATGAATGGCCCAAAATGCATCTGAATCAGAATCCACGTGGATGGAGTGAGGCTCTGGAAGACAAGTCTGAATCACAGTGCAGGCTGAATGAATCATTTAACAGCATGGGAAAATACAATCACTATATCCACAACATGTAGATTTTACAAAGCAGCTCTCTGTTCCATCTATTGTTTCATGTGGAGAGAATGGAGCCATGAGGAACTGTGTGAATAAAACTCCTACTCAAATGGATTTCTGCTGCGTGTCATAAACCCGTAGCCTGAAGAGAGGGCTCTTTTGCAAAAATAATAAAGATTATAATGAACGCTAACCCTGTCAAGTTGCATTTATTTCACTGCTTACCTGTTTGAGGGATGTGTTTTCTCGATGCACTTAGTCCTTGTGTGTCCTTGTCTTGTGTGTGTCTTTACCTCAGTACTCGTCAATCACAGAGAATGACATGATTGAGGTGGCCAGGTCCAAAATATATTATGATTTTGCTCGAACATTCGGAATTTTAAAGAAAATATCTCTTTGATCATGAATTTGTTTGACCAATTTAATATTTCTTGCATGTAAAAAATACTGTGACAGTGACCATCTTGTTTGTAAATGATGGAAAGGCTCCAAATATCCCGATGCTAAAAGCGTTGTCAAGACTGCTGTGAAATAAGCTGGACGAATGAGGGACTACACCGACTGACTAAAAATATAGGCAAGGCAAGGCAAGTTTTTTTGTATAGCACAATTCATACACAAGGCAACTCAAAGTGCTGAACAAAACAAGAAAGCATTAAAATCATAAATAATCACAGAACATTAAAAAGAAAGATAAAAATATAAAATCCCTCAGTTGTATGCACAGCTAAACAGAACTGTTTTTAACCTGGTTTTAAACATTGTCAGAGAGGAGGCCTGTCTCACAGAATATACTGATACTACACTTTTTCAGATGTAGGGTTGCTGCTGGTGGCAAATAATTTTTGCCACCAGCAGCAAATTGTTTGTTTGTATTTTTATCTGTAAAAATACAAACAAATTTTGTAAAATATACTGTATGTTTTATTACATTCAACTTTGAAGGAATAAAGGAGGATTTTCCCAAATTTTGGGAAAGAACCACCCTTCCGCTTTTTGAACCAAACTCTCTAGTCTTATTTAACGAGCACGTATCACCAGAATGGTCGACAATTAGGAGGACCAATAGTCTTGATGATCCATCCGGGAGTAGAAAATCCTCCTATATTCCTTGGTTGGTAAGTTTTAATTCTACAGCAGTTTTCACAATCTTCTAATCTAGTTGATAATATAGAGAGAGTTCAAGATAAGATAAGAGATCCTTTATTCGTCCCACAGTGGGTACATTTCAATATGAAGGTGCTTTCTTAGGGTCAGAAGTTTAAAGAGTGCTTGAACTAAACTTCTGAAAGGTGAACTCCACAAGCTGAGCTCCAGACGCACCCTCCAGTGAAGAAGGTTTGATGTGAACATTTGCATTTGAAAAGACTCGAGTGGAGGTGGCACCCTTAATGTTGACATCACAAGTCGGAGTTGGCGTTGGAAGTCTGGCATATTTCTAAACTGCACCAATTTGAAAAGTACTTTTGCATTTTATTTAAGACAAATCCAGTGCATCTGGTTGTCCATTCATCTATACATTATTCTTCTGCTTTATCCAGAGCTGGGTCACAGAGGCAGCGGTCTTTGTACACTTGGAGGAGGGCGGACTCAGCAATGCTCTATAGATTTACAAAGTCCAGCCCCACCCTGGACCCGCTGCAGTTAGCCTACAGGCCCAACGTCGGAGTGGAGGACGCTGTCATCTATTTGCTGCAGCGGACGTTCTCCCACCTGGAGCCATGTGAGCGCAGTGAGGTTCATGTTTTCTGACTTCTCCAGTGCTTTCAACACCATCAGACCGGCACTGCTGCGGGGGAAGATGGAGGACGTGGGAATGGACAGTAACCTCACTGCTTGGACCATCAACTACCTCTCAGACCGACCACAGTACATGTATGTATACGGCTGTGTGCGGTATGTATATGGCTGCGCAGTTGTGAGTCTGAGGTGGTAGTCTGCAGTACTGGGGCCCATCAGGGCACTGTCCACTCACAGTTTCTCTTCACCATCTACACTTCAGACTTCACATATGACAAACACAGCTGCCACCTGCAGAAATTCTCAGACGACTCCGCCATCGTGGGCTGTGTGTCTGAGGGGAACGAACTGGAATATCGGTCGGTTATCACAGACTTTGTCGACTGGTGTGAGCGCAACCACTTGTGCTTGAACACCAGTAAGACCAAGGAGATGGTCATCGACTTCAGGAGAAAACCACTTTTCCTTACGCTGCTGAACATCCAGGGGGAGTTTTATTAGAGTAGAACAAAAAATACATTACTCTCTTCAAGGAGTAAACGTTAAAAAGTTAAAACAACTTAAAAGACAAGGCAAAAACTACAAATATAAATCTACTTCATCCGAGAGTATTGCACACGTTGCTTGACAGGAGCCATGTTGACAGCAGCTGACAGGGATGTGTTCCAGGAGCCGCTGAGGCCCCTCCAGTGAGGCCCACACTTCTCCATCACAGATGCCTCATGTTCAAGAGGGACTCTCTGCTTGTTTACTGCGGTGGAGCAGTGTGGCAGCTCTTGCAGCATCATCTGTGACAGCGTATAGGTCCACACAAGAGGCACTTATGGAGCCAAGCAGACAGTGTGTGGAAACTTGTCAGCAGAAAATGATGAAAATTCTAGCTAGAAAAGTCAGTTACACTCTTTAAACAAATCCTGCATCCAGACAATGATTCCGGATCATCTACACAATGTACACTGTCCTTTGGGCCAGTGCGCATGTTTCCTGAAAGTTAGGTCCAAGTCTTCCCACAATCCTTTGAGTTGTGTTGCAAGAAGGTCCTGGGTTTGAATCCCAGTTGGATCAGGGCCCGTGTCTGCAGAGGTTTCCTCCGGGTGCTATGGTTTCCACTTCTACTATGAATCTAATGAGTGAGTGAATGGATGGTTTGGTCAGAGGCTTTGATGCACTTGTGTGTTTTCCACGTGTGTGTGAGAGAAAGAAACAATATTTGAACTCTGATCATTGTAGAGCGCTTTGGATAGTCTGTAAAAATGTGGTATATAAATACAGATTACTTAATTACAGACAAACACTAGCGATCGCTTTACGTCATTAATTGAGGCAATTAAAAGCCATTTTATTATGTGATCAAATTTTATTTCTACTGTCAAACTCATTGTAAAATGCCAAACTGTTGTTGTGTCCTTTGGCAAGAAAAGTCCCCCACATTGCCCAGTATGAGTCTGGTGTGTGTGTGCAGAGGGGCTGATGGTAGATACTGGTTGTCTCCATTCTGTCAGTGTGCCCCAGGGCAGCTGAAGTGAAATAGCATAGTCAAGGAATGTAAAGTTAGCATTAGGATTACCCAAAACTTTACATGACATGGAATTACTTACGTGTGAAGTTGTTTAAAGTTTCATTTTATTCCTTCAAAGTAAAACTGAAATGTGGCAGGACAATAACCATTGTTGTGATATTTAGGTAACAACTTGTAAATACAACAAAACAATACAACATGATTATTGAACTTGGCATTTCAGAACACAGTGACCATTTCAAGATAGATCAAGCAAACATGTAAAAACATTTCAAAATGTATACAAATTAATAACCATGTGGACAACGTCTCCACAACCACATATAATCCCCCACAATATGAAAAAAGAGCAAAAGATAGAGTTGAGAAAAATAGGGATATATAGAACATAAATGTACTACCAATAGGATGTTTGTGAGTTAGTGCTGGAAGGTCCCCAAATCCTCGGTCCCCAGACTGGATCATTGGTGCCAACGATGATGAAAGGCACTGTTTGTGATTGGAGAGTGTGAGTTTGTCACTCTCAGGCCGGCTCTGTCCTGACAGGTGCCGTGAGCTGTGTTCAAAACAAACGCACACAGCAGCCTGTTGCACTTCCTCTGGAGGAAATGACATTTTTGTGACTAAATGGAAATGAGCTTCTCTACAGAGCCGCAGTGATATGAAGAGCATAATAAGCCCACAGGGAGACATTTCCTGCTCATACACAGCGGCTGGAGATAAGACCACACACCTGGACGGAGTCTGTATCAGAGACCAATGTGGCACATTGTGCCAAGTCAAAATTGGATACACATAACAAGAGCTTCATCAATTGGCAAGCAATATAAAGTCCCTCTAATTCTTCAGTAATCCGTGAATGTGAGAAATCCAGGGGGTAGACAAGACCTAACTTTTCCTCTTATAATTAAGAGGACCTGTGTTCGTCAGCATATTCCTGAACAAAAACAATGGCTCTGAGACCGGACACATGGCCTCAGTAAGCACTGCACTATAGAATCCAAGAGTCCATACAGAGTTTTGTGCATCTCAGTGAAGCTTCATGACACATATGAGAAGTCTCCTGACCTAATGCAGGGATCATAACACCACCCTTTATTTGAAAAAAAAACAAAACAAAAAACTGAGGTTTGGTTTGTTTGGCTTAAATTCAGCATTTGAAGCACTGAATGTTGCAGTAACACTAAGTTGGCGTTGGAGAATTCAAATCTTGGCTGAGAACAGTTTGTCACATCAAAGCACAGAAAGTTTGTTGGTCTCCAGGCTCCAAACTTTGTGAGTCTGGAGCTTCTTCACATGTGCAGCAGGCTCCCAGCCTTCTGGAAGGTTCCTTCTGCTAAACTCCACCAGCCTTTTCCTTTTCCTTTAGTCCAAAAGTGTGCGTGTTCCCCAGGCCTGACCCTGCAGACTGCAAAGCCTCGTGAGCGGCAGAGGATAGAGCTGCATCTCTCCATCCTCCAAACTCTTGTACATTTAGAGCGCAGGGATCAACAGTATGAAGTTACTTTCACTTTTATTGTAATATATTTCTATATTACTAGCTACTGGGATAATAAATTATTATATTTGTAATACAATATTGCGGTTTTACTCAGAGTTACTTTTGGTCCAAAACACTATTTAAATCAGACTGATATTCGATACATGACATTGTTATATTAAAATACTTCTGCAGTTTCACGACAGGGACAGTTTTTTTGTTATATTACATAAAAAGATCAACTTTGCTTCCTCAAATTATTACAAACGGTGAGAAAGAAAATGTGCACTTACATTACAAGTCTGCAGATAACTTGAGTTACTTTGATTGTAACTAGTAATATAATACATCATTTTACTTGCACTGTAATGAGTTACACTGCAGTTACTACAAAACAGGAATATATTACAATATGTTACAAAAGTAACTAGTTACTCCCAGCACTGTTTGTGAACAACATGAATATGTCTCAACAGTAAAATAAACAATTCTATAGGTGTGTTCTATAATGTAACCAATGAAACACATTTAGACAAAAGCAACAAAAACAAAAGACTGGTGCAAGAGTTACATAAACATAAACATCAAGGAAATCCTAACCCATCCTCTAAACCCTCTAAACCCTCTAAACCCTCCCATCGACATGTTTGGGTTTCGAATACATGTGATACACTCCCTTTAGAGGGTCTATTGAGGGTCACTGGTGATGGATGCAGCAACACAATTTACTGAATTGAAGTTAAATATAATACTTCAATTGAGTTTGTAGAAGATGCAACTCAACCAAATGTCAGTGTTTATATTAAGCCTTGAAATCCGGATTGGGATGTGGAGTTAATAATGCAAGAGTTTCCTCTGGACGGGACGTGAATGGAAGCTTAGGACTGCATTTGATTTAAGGCGTCCGTGCAACAATCATCAGCATATGTGGATAACAAAAGGCTTCTGGAGGGTCTTTGGGAGTGGGCTTTGTAGGTACATTATATATATGTGCATTATATGGACTACATGCACGCAGGTAGATCAAGGGGAGCAGATAGCAGATAGGAGTCAGCTGTAACAAGCAGCATTCTTCAAACGGCTCAGGTCTCAGGTGTTGATGCCGTTCTTGTCTTTTCGTACACTTTGGTTTTCACGCAGATATCTCTCCTCTTCCTGCAGGGTGTTTGTGCGTCCGTGGAGAAGGCCTTTCACAGAGCTTTGGCACTGGAGGTGTGGGAGGCGGCGTGCGACACGGGCTTCTGAGGGAAGCGGCTGTAGTAATAAACCTGGGATAAAATGGCAAAGTCCACAAACACTTGCAGCAGGCCGCAGATCCAGAACTGCACCGGAGCCTGCGTCAGGAGGAAGTATCCGGTCTTGAATGTGTCTCCGCTGGTCCACATCAGCACCATCTTGATGCTGGAATGAAAACAAAAAAACAGCAATATTTTAGTACCAGACCCAGAAATCAGGGGAAGAAAATGGATGGATGGATGGATATTTTAGTTTAGAGAGATAGTTTATTGATCCCCGTAGGAGAAATTCTGGTAATCAGTATCAGCAGAAAAACATTCATTCATCCATACAAACAAAACAAACAAATACATAATTCTAAAAAACAATAGTAATAAAATGCAACAGTTTACCCTCTTACTTAGAGTGAAGATCAGTTACTGAGTTCAAATGTTAGACCCGCCCCCACAGAAGTCTGATTGGACGCAATTAATTCTAATCCTTGTTAGTGAGGGGCCTCAGTTTGACTATTGGTCGAATTATTCTACCCCAGAAAATGTGACTGGTTATGGTTATTCCATAAGATCCAACTAAACAGTTCCTCTGTTTTAAATAATACCTTTTTCAGGATAAATATATTTATTCTGAAAAAAGTATTAAGGTCAAATCGACAAATAATATGTATTCCTTAAAAAAAAAAACAATTTAAGTTCCATATCACCTTTTAAATTTTAAGTTATATACAGTCATTTATATACTTAGAGCTAGGGTACATGACCTTAAAGCTAGGGTACATGACCTCCAAAAGACAACAATGGAACTATGTGATAAAGCCCCTGTAACTAGCTCCTTGCTAGTTTGACACGTTCTATGGAGCTAAACCAAGAAAATACCTTGCACATACAGTGCTGCAGTCAACATGTGTGTATTGCACATAAATAAGAAAAGAGCAGGCAAGACAATAGTTTTTGTTTCTTTCTAATGTTCTTCAAGGCACTGTAATGAATCGGCACGTTACAGTAAAATAAAAAAAAAGTTTCCTCTGCTTGCATTTGTTTGTGAATACATGAATCTCTAAACTACACAAACAAGACAATAAGTAAATGATTGGGCAGTAATTATATTGACTTAAGTTTTGCCTAAAATGAGCACTGGTCAAACAGCTGAAAATGCATATATTCTAAATAAATGAGGGTACTAGAGAAAGACTTTCCGAAGAGAACTATGGTGGGTCTACTGACAATGGGAAGCATAAAACATGTTAAAATATTGATAGAAAATGCTCCTTCAGCGTTATTAAAAATACATATATGCATCCAATAAGACACATAGATTTCTGACTTGATATTGGATCACCGCTGGGTCACTGCGACTCAGGCTACAGGATCTCATTAGAACTGGTCATTGTATTTCCTCACACATTTTCAGGTTAATACATAATAAAAACATGTACATCTGCAGAACATCACACCTGGGAAATACGAAAGCAGTCGACATCACAGAAATACATTCAAATCTCATTTCAATATACAATTAGGTCAACTATTGTGCTGCTAATGGAGAAAGTAAAGCAGCACAAAAACACAGCCTATGCAACTGTGTCTTCCAATGGAGCTTTTACCAAACCATGGAGAACTGGAAAAATGCATCTTTCTGGAGCGCTGTCCCCATATGTAGGTTATATTTAGCTCTGCTTCAGGCATGGACCCTTTTCGCAATTTCAACCTCTGAAATGAGACGTCTGTAAATCAACACCTTCCAATCCTGATAATTGCTTCTTATTATTGCCCAGACTGGAAATGTTTTGTTTGGATTAAAAGAAGAAACATTATGTGTCGTCTCTGGACATTAAAAAATATGAATGGGACGATTTACTTTGTCATTTCATGTTTTAGAGTGTGACATTTGAGCTGAGGAATTGCCAAAACTAATTCAAGGGCGATATTTATGTTTTCAAATGCAGAAAACTGCTCTGAGTGTAATGTTGTATAGTGGTACAATGACATCATATTAAATAAGTAAGTAAGTAAATCAATAACTAATCTTTATTTATATACAGCCTTTCACAGACCAGAGTCACAAAGCACTTTACAATTGTTATTTCTTTTTTTGGTCCTTTGTCACTCACTCCACACAGAGATGGGAGTAGGGTCGCCAGTACAGGAGGCGCATGTCAGACCTATTGTACATGTTTTTAGTGGTAGGGGAACCCGGAGGAAACCTACGCAGGCACGGGGAGAACGTGCAAAATGCACTCAGAAAGGCACTGTTCCGAGAGAGGAGCTTTTAGATTGAAAGGGCAGAGTACATGTTTGTGCCAGAAGTTCCTAAAGTTGGATGGATCTAAAAACATCTTCAAGTCTGTCGATTAAGCATAATATGCCTCCTATAAATATATTGATCTTATTTATTGAATTAAAATGGCTTAAGAAATACCTAGAGAAATATCCATTCTTAGAAATCGCTAACTCGTGCAGTCACCTTCTTACTTTTATTATAATATTTAATGGGAGAATATTTTATGCAGTGCAATCTGTTGCAGTCAAAATTGACATTTAGGATAATCATTTGATAAAAGTTTGACCAAACGACATAGTTTTGTACTAAAATTAACATCAATATGTATCTGGGAAATATTCATTGTACCATAAGACTATAATACACACAGGCTGCAATAGTTTCAGTGTTGCATCATTCGTTACAGAGCAGTAAGAATGATGAGCACAATATCAAGTATAGCACAGCTCTATACTTTAACCAAAACACAAACATCTTATATTTAGATAAATAAAGCAAAGTATAAAATACTGTTTACTCTAGTGCAAGAAAAAAGTGTAGAATTGGGAAGAGGTGTTTAAAAAAAAAAATCACTATTACATCTAAGTAACATTGCTAAAGCTGTGTTTTGGTCATAATTACAGAAAACCCCCCACTAATATTTAAGCAACTAAATTGCTTAATTGAAAGTATAATTAGCTAACAATACAATATACATCTTTGTTCATTACTATTGGGTCTGTCCAATGCTATGGTCCTGCTCTGTGCTCATAGACACCTGACTCTCCTGCAGGGAGTGAAAACTTTACAATCTTCTGACCCGGCCACACATTCTTCTAGCTGTGAGGCCACATAACACTAGCATTCTCCCTCCATCCTGGGAAAGAAAGCTAATGAGACAGCCTAACAAGCTCAAAAACACAGGTATAAACGCAGCTCTGTACTCTGAGCTCATCCATGGGGAATAGACTGAGGCACACATGTCTATAGGCAGAAGGCAGGGGTGACGGCGCAGGCATGAGGTTGTTCTGTCATTAGTGTCTCGGCTGGAGGTGTGATGAGTGCCCTATAACTTCACATGGAGCTCTGAGTAGTGCACTACTTCTTTGAGCGAGGGCTGCAGCTTTGCGACTAAACTTTATTCTTGCTTGCTGGAGGCAAACAGGGCCGCTGACAGTAGAAAAAACCTGAGCCAGAGGCGCCAATGATACCAAGAGAAGACCTCACCTCATGAGCATGCATCCACAACAGAACAAACAAAATACGCACACGAAAACACAAAACTGTATATACTGTACATATTCAAAAAATATTGAAGCCTTTGTTAAAGTTTGAGTTTCCCAATTCATCACCGTGCCCCAAAATATTGATAAATACAAGTCTGGAGCAGAAGTGAATCCACAAAAAGTGATGACAAACAAGCCTGAAATTGCTCTATTTTGGTTAAATTTGAGCTCAATTTGACTGCCTTAAAACAAGATTTTCTGATGGGACAACCAAAACAATCTTGTTTTAAAAAGATGCACAAAATGTGGAATGAGAAAATAAAGCAACGGTTCTTGAAATAGGACTATAGGGCTTTGTCCCATTGGCAAATCTTGTTCGAAGACAGAATGTACTCAAATCAAGAAAAAAAAAAACCTCAATTCAAGCCATTATTATTATTATTACTACCTCGTATTTCATCATTTTTTGCAGTGTATGGGCCTCAGTTGCTGAACTATATGATGCCTGCCCTCCCTCCTGGATCTCGCTGTCTGCTGCATACGAGGTCCTGCAGAGAGGTTGGACACGTTCTCACTCAGCCGTGTCTGCCTCGTCGGTCAGCACTATTTGAAACTGCTCCACAGGAGGTCTTCTTGCACCGAGGCGCGTTGTTTCAGAGAGAAATGCATGATTTGTCTCTCGCTGTGTCACGTTGAGAAGATGACTCACTTATGCTGCTTGCGGGCCTTGATTGGCTTCTTGTCGCTGGTGGGACTTTTTTATGAGAGTGACTTCAGGGCGTTGCAAAAGAAAGCTCTGAAGTCACACACAAATATTATCTCAAGTATTTTATTTTACCACGAGAAGGAGTTTGTGAGCACATTTCTACCATGCCGAGGGTAGAGGCACTGTAGGCTGGATTGGAAAACAACTGGAAAGATTGAGCTGAAATTTGGTGTGTAAGGGACATGATTGACTTGACTGCATTCAAATGTGGCGGGTTACGCACTCTGCAAGTATAGCGTTTCACTTCATGTTAATAAATGACCCACCTACTAACTCAGCCAGCAACAATATTCAGGTTTAAATATTGTCACTGAAACTATATTCAAAAACATGTAAGGTCACATAAAGAAGAAAGTGTTAATTGAACGCACAAACAAACCTGCGATTCATTCGTCATAGTGTCATCAGATTTACACTTCTGCCAAAAGCATTCATCATTTCACAATCAATAGATGTACAATGCCTTGAAAAAGTATTCATAACCCTTGAAACTTTGCACATTTGATCTAATTACGAACACTAAACAGGGGAGCTAGCATAAGTATTCAGCCCCCCTGAGTCAATAATTTGTGGAACCCCTTTGCTGCAATTACAGAGGAGTGTTTGGGGGACATCTACAGATATTTGTTCCCATTCATTTTTGCAAAACAGCTCATGCTCAGTCACATGGAGACCCTCAGCATGGAATGAAATAGCTTCATTTTGAGGGAAATTGTCCTGATGGAACATACAAGCCCCACTCCAATCTCAATCAGACATAGTATGATTTAGGTATTCCAAATCTGCATCTTCAGATGTGTCAGCACACAGAGATTCTCTACCGTTAAAAGATGCTGCGAGAGAAGAGAAAAGTGCGATGCAGAGCGAAAACACTGCTGATGAGTCTTGAACTGAACCATCCATACAGTAGAAGTGCT